CAATATTGCATGTACACTCCCGCTCAATAACTTTTGCCCACCCTACAGCGATTGAAGGTTTTACAAAAAGTTTTGTATTTTTCTTATTATTAAAGATAAAAAGCTCAAAAAGGTCTCTTTTTAAAGCTCTTTTCCTGAGTTTTAACACTGTATAAAACAAAAATTTAAAAAATTAATTTGTTAATGTTTAAAAAATGTTATTGCAACATAAAATTTTTCGTTTTTTTTTCGCTTTTTTTAAAGTGATACAGTTTCATAGGAAATGGTCGCACATTAATCAAACACATATTTTCTGAAAGCTAGTTTTATCACCTTTAAAATGCATTTTTTAAAATTTTTATACGATAATTTTTAAGAAAAATATAATTTTTTGTTTAAAAAATTAGCCATTTTTTTCAATTGTTGATAATTCAAAAACTGTTAATTTAGGAAAAAATTTTTAAGAACATAAATTGGTCCTTTTTGTGTGCAGAATTAGAAAAAAAATATTAAAAATTTTTTTTTGAAAAAAATTTTTTTGAATTTTTTTGAAAAAAAATTTTTTTTCATTTTTTATATTTTTATGTTTTAATTGTAGAAACTCGCTTTTTACACTCACTTGTGACAATTGTTACAAGACTGAGATTATGATGACAATCGTCAAAGTAATTAAGAACCTTTAATCCGTTTACAAACAATATAATAAATAAGTATTATATCAAAAGTTATTTAAATGATTGGTGAGTTAAAATTATTAAAAAAAATTAAATAAATACGGTGAAAAATTTTCTTGCTTGTTGTAGTGAGTATAAAAAGCGAGTTTCTACAATTAAAACATAAAAATATAAAAAATGAAAAAAAAAATTTTTTTTTAAAAAAAATTTTTAATATTTTTTTTCTAATTCTGCACACAAAAAGGAACAATTTATGTTCCTAAAAATTTTTTCCTAAAGTAACCGTTTTTGAATTATCAACAATTGAAAAAAAATGGCTAATTTTTTAAACAAAAAATTATATTTTTCTTAAAAATTATCGTATAAAAATTTTAAAAAATGCATTTTAAAGGTGATAAAACTAGCTTTCAGAAAATATGTGTTTGATTAAAGTGCGACCATTTCCTATGAAACTGTATCACTTTAAAAAAAACGAAAAAAAACGAAAAATTTTATGTTGCAATAACATTTTTTAAACATTAACAAATTAATTTTTTAAATTTTTGTTTTATACAGTGTTAAAACTCAGGAAAAGAGCTTTAAAAAGAGACCTTTTTGAGCTTTTTATCTTTAATAATAAGAAAAATACAAAACTTTTTGTAAAACCTTCAATCGCTGTAGGGTGGGCAAAAGTTATTGAGCGGGAGTGTAGATGCTTTGTTTCAACAGATTTAACTTTATTAAATGTAAATTAAATTAAAAAAATATAAAGAAAGAAGGATTTTAAAAAAAGAAAAATAAATCTGACAAATGTTTAGAAATATTCATATAAAAGCCATTACAAATTTTGAATGGTCATTTAATTGACATTCGTATTGAAATTTACAAATCTGATCTACTACTCCACAATCACAAAATATGTATGTACTATTATGTTATTAAATTAAGAAAATATAAAAAAGGACTTTAAAAAAAAGTTTGGCTCTCTCTGTCTAATTTTGCTTTCAACAAAAAATTTAAATTTTGTAATTTTTTAAATAACTTTTTTCTTTATTAAAATTTTCATTTACTCTTGTCAAAATTGTATTTCTGCCATGAAAACGAATCGATTTATGTATATAAAGTATATATTTTATCAATATTTATAAAATTAATCGGACGATATTTTTATTTTTAACAAAAAATTTAAATTTTGTATTTTTTGAAATTTTTTAAAATACTTTTAAATAATTATTCTAGATTAAGAAATTAAGCAATTGGTATATATATTATATTGTGGAAGCTAAATGATCATAAAAAGAACAACTTGTTTTTTACTCCACTACTCATTTTTTATTAAGGTTTTAATTTAAAATAATAGATATTAAGCTCAAAAGAACCTATGCGACATTTATATTTTAGGTTAGTTCAGTTGTTTATTTACATTCCGTGGTTAGATTTAAGCGCCATAACCACTACACTGAGAGAAAAGAAGGTACACTGCTGTTCATTTGGAGGTTGTGTATCGCAATTCAAATTTGGATCAACTGCGCACTCTAAAGACCGCATGGTCAAATAACCTAGGTTATGGAGACCATGCGAGCTCACTGCGTCCCATGTCAAGAGTCAGCAGCGCGCTCTAAAGGGGCGCGTTACACGCCCCTTTAGAGTGCGCAGTTGATCCAAATTTGAATTGCGATACACAACCTCCAAATGAACAGCAGTGTACCTTCTTTTCTCTCAGTGTAGGAAATTCTAGGGAATGTAGATTAACTAAACGCGTTCATTTTAAACTGGGATTAGGCTGGTGAAACGCACTAGCGGTTAACTCTGACGATCAAGAGTTGAACGAGTTCAGTTGAACCAAGCTTAACCGCCAGTTGGTGAAACTGGCCCTTAATCACATTCTGTAGATTATTTAGTACGGACAACCAAATTTTAGTAATCTCAACAAAAAGTGCTCAACAAAACGATTTTGTTGACATTACAATATTATTTTTCTCAGTGTAGGACTTTATAAAAGACCCGGTTCAATGATGCTAACTCTCTCCTACTTGTTTAGTAACTTGATGTCTTTTACTGCTGTTCTGCTTTTTACTTGAAATAAGCCTCTCACATGTTCATTATAGAATATATGCATAAATGAATGTAAAGGTTAAAATAAAGGGTTTTTTTCGACGTTCAGGCTGACAGTGCTGTGAAAATAGCAAACGAGGTTGGTTAGTGAGTAAAATTGTGAATTTTGGTTGGCTAAAGTCTAAATTGACAGTTTTCGTGCTATCATTTGATGCCCCAGTAAGAAGAGGAAAATTGAAAAGAATTCAAAAGTTGTATTCTTCTCAATAGGCGAATTTACCTCGGATCTCTATTCCACGGGAACCATCAAAATTTCAGAAAAATCTTTTATTCTGAATTGACTTCACAAAATATAAAACGCGCATTCAAAAGAATGAGAAAGTACAACAAATCAGTAGAAATTTCTATTCCACTAAATTGACTTGAGGTTATGTTTCAAAACTTTTCATTAAACATAATTAAACTTGACGTTAAACATTAAACACTTCAAAATTTCTTTCAATAAGAGCATTTTACATTTTATTGTAAGCACTATGCGTTTTTTAACCATATTTTCACTAGTTTTAACATTTGATTTTAATAATTTAGCACTGAAATTACCACTAATCTGAATTTTAATACATTTAATTAGTTCACTTTACAATAAATAAATATATAACAACAATTATTTATCTAATATTATTCGCACACTAAAAAGATATGATAAACATATTTTTTATGTGCGAATAATATTAGAAAAGTAATCATCCTTACAAAAATAACACTGCACTTTTTCTTCGAGTACACAAAATATTTACAAGTTGCACTTATTACACGTGTTTTACATCCCTCGACTCTCGACATCTCTTCTGACAGTTTCATCACTTCCACACACTCAATATTCTTCTTAGCACAAAAATCACAAAAAGTTAGAAACAAATAACCACATTAAGCTTTAACAAATGCACTAAGAGGACAACACTATATGTTATGCGTCATATGTCAAGCCGACATCTTTTTTTCTCGTTTACTAACGAAAACGGTAAAGCCAACTACTTTTGTGAATGCATTTACTGTTTGACATTTTCTAATTCTAAATAGTTACGTTAGACGACATCTTTTTTTTCTCATTTACTAACGAAAACGGTAAAGCCAACTATTTTTGTGGATACATTTACTGTTTCACATTTACTAATTCTAAATAGTTACGTTTTACATGCAAAATATTAAAACTTACTGGTAAAATTACTAGATTTTACTAACAAAATAGACGGGAGAATAAATTCCGCTTTTACTAATAATAAAGTAGTTGCCCTAACCATTCATTTCTCTCAGTGTGAAACCATTAACAGTCAATCCAAAAAAATAGAACTCCATATTTTTTCAGAAACTTTGCGCATTAAAAAAATAGAAAGTTTGAATTCTTTGCTATCGCCTTGCTCACACGTAGAATTAAGAATAATAGGTTTTTTTGAAATTTGGTGGTTCCCGTGGAATAGAGCTCCAAGGTAAATTTGCCTATTTAGAATAATTAAAAATTATCGTTTTCAAACAAATTTTCTGGAAATATAATTATTCTCTATTCCTCGCTTATTACCGGGGCTTAGTTTCAAATGACTGAACGTGAAAACGGAACCCTAAAACTGCCAATTTAGAATTTTAGCCAATCAAAATTCACAATTTCACCCACCAACCAACCACGTTTGCCATTTTCACAGCACTGCTAGCCAGAAAGTCTGAAACACCCAAAGTAAGGCCTGCTTGGAAATTTTAATTCATCTACCTTCTTTAAGATACCGATGTGTACATTAATGCCAGTTCTGTAAGTGTTTTACGTAATTTATAAATAACCCCATTAGAGGATTTTCGGGTAACCAAAAATTCAAAGATTTTTCTATAAGCAAAGTCAATCGAAATTTGAAAAAAACTTATTTCAAGCGCAGTAGTTTTCAAAAATTCGAAGTGTCCTGTTCTATTGAAATTGCAATTCTGTAAGCGATTAATAAGCAATCATAAAGTTTAAAATTACGAAAGTGGCTTTGATTGGGCTATAAAATGAAAATTTTGAATATCATAAAATATAGATAATTGAAAATCAGAGATAAAACGTTTTCATGAATCTGCTTTCGATTGTTTTGACCTTTTATAAAATAATGTAAATTTCAGTGCTGAAAATAAAAAAAATTTTAAAGATATGTTTATTCTTCTTCTAATAAAGCATATATCGAGATTCTGTTGTATCATAAAAATTATCATAAAAACTGATAATAAACAATTTGAACTAATATTTTTTATAAAAAGTATTAAAAATTGAATACAAATTTTTTTATTTACCTGCACGTTGTGTAGTAATTGGGCTAGGATCCCTAGATTTGACGGCGTCGCGAGTCATTTTCTCGACCTTTGACTCATATGATACAATGTACTTTTTCACAGTGTTCTCATCCTCTTCTGTACTTTTAATAGATATCTCTAATTCCCCAGAGTCTGGTTCACCGTCATAATCTGGTTCGACTATTTCTGGAATCGCCTCAGTATCACTCAATTTAGACCTCCTCCCATCTGACGCACGGCTTTGCTGTGGACTGTCGTCACCAGGTCCTAACTCTCGTATACAATGGCACTCAAGGTCGTCGATTTTTTGTTTTCGCCTTTCTTCTTCACGTTTAGATAAATCCTCTTCTTCTACAAAAATTTTAAACGGATGTTAACACAATTATTATATATAATTACCTTGATATTTAAAGATCTTTTGTGAATAACATAAGCATGTCCAAGTTAAGTAATTTAATAAGAAAATATAAAAAATAAAAATATCCAGTTGTTTGCTAATGACATATATATATACAAATTAGTAAACTACCAATGTTATAGCTAGGGCGCGCGGCGGTTAGTACTCTGTGGGACGCTATATAGTCCAGTCACATTAACATTTTTAGACTTTTTATCTCTGGACCCCAATTTTTTTTGCTTAAACCTTTCAATTTACGGTCAAAATAAAGTGCCTAAATTTGGTACTTCAAACTCCGTCGGGAAAGCAAAAAAATTTTGCAAAAGAGGTGCAAAAATCAGTTTTTTGAAAATTACCGCTTTCTATTCCATTTAAGGGTAAAAATAGTCATTAAAAAAAGAAAGTGTAAAAAATTCTGAGCAATTTAAAAAAAAGTGAACCTTGTAGCTCAAAAATTGACCGAGATATGCCCTCTGCAAAAAACACGTTTTTTTTCGTGATTTTAGCCAAAATTCTCTATTTCTCAGTTTTTTCAGAACTACTTCTAAAATAACACAGGTTTACAAATTAAAAACTTTTTTTTGTTAATCGAAAAAAACATTTTTTTTTTAATAGTAGGTATTTTTTGAGTAAGAAAATCATAGTTTTAATTTTTTTTCCTCGTGCAATTTTTCTGTAGCTTCAAATTTTGCATTTTCGAGGTGCGGCGTCACTTAAACTTACCTGTAGGAAAATTAGCTTGTCAAAATATAATAAGTAAGGTATCATTGAAAAGGTTATTGAATTACCTTTCGATCCATAGGTCCCAGAATAATATTCAACAAAAATTCAGAGAGTTACAGTCGATTAAAGATCAAATTTCATGACAATTTTGATGATTTTTAAATATTTGAGTAACTTCTACTATTTTGTTCTACATCAAACAGGAAAAAATGTTTAGGTTTTAATTTTTTTATTGATAGACTATATGATTACAAAAATTTTGAGCTCTTGTAGACCTCGATTGGATTAAAAATGACAATTCTACACTAAATTTAGTGAACTAAACTACTTTCTTCATTTTTAGTATCCCTTAAACATTTGCAGCAAAAATTCAAGTAATAAAATTTAGTTAAGCGCTAAACTTACTAAAATCACTAATCAAGGGTTTCTGAAGTCGTATATTTCAAATGCACTGTTAGTTTTACAAATTTCAAAATGGCGGATCCAAAATGGCGGACAAGTTTCTAAAAATCGATGAAATTCGTCTGAAATTCGTTACTCGGGGGTTTTCGGGGTTGCTGATTACGATTCCAATGTCAGATTTCAAAAAATCAAATTGGCGTATCCAATAGGTGCCAATTCGATGGATTTTTAAAAAACTCGTTCACCATTATGAATCCATCATTTTCAATTTTTGAAATTGTCAGGAATTTAGTCAGCTTTAAGTCCTCTGTTGGTCATTTTTTTAAAAAATCATTATTTTAGAAGTAGTTATGAAAAAACAGAAAAATAGCGAATTTTTGCTAAAATCACGAAAAAAAACAGGTTTTTTGCGGAGGGAAAGTTTTCTTTCCTTAGACACTTAGCACTACATTTTTTTCTCGTCAGATTTTAAAATCTTTGTATATCGTTTAAACAATTTTGCTGTAAATAATAAAAAATGCATTTTCTTTTATTTTTTGAAGAATAAAGTTTCATAAATAATCTAAAAATGTTTTTAATCGAGCAAAACTCATCACTTAAGGGTTCTCGGGTCGCTGATTACGATTCCAGTGTTGGTTATGAAAAATTTAAAATGTCCAATGACTTATTGAAAAATTGAATTAGTTTTGTTTATTAATTGTTTTTGCTTTTGGGTCATCGATTACGTATCCAGTGTTAGTTTTGGAAAATTGAAAATAACGGATCCAAAATGACTGCAGGCTTTTGTAAGAATCGATTTATTTTGCTCAAAATTCACCAATCGGGGGTTTTTCGGGTCACCGAATACGAATTCCGAATTGGTAGCGAGATATATAGTAAATCTACTTATAAAAACAAAACAATACAAAAAAACAGAACCGAAAAATAGTCAACTTTCATAACAAAGATTTCCTTTGGTTTTTACTTTAAAATAATTTGATTTAAAAAAAAATGTTTTTCGTTTATAACAAATGAAAAGAAGTGTAAAAAACAAAGGATATCTTTTTTATGACAGATGGCTATTTTTCTTCTAAGAAAGATTAAAGCTCAATAATACTGTTTTTCTTTATGATTATTTTACAGATTTTCGTAAAATATTTATAGGTAAATACGTTTTGTCTTTATTTGCAGATTCATTATATTTCTAGCAACCAATTTCGTATTCGTATTCGGCGTCTCAAGAAACTCCCGAGTAGTACGTTTTGAACAAATTAGTTCAATTTAAAAAAAAAGGTTTTAACCATTTTGGATCCGTCATTTTTAATTTTTGGTAATTAACATCAGATTCATAATCAGCAAACCAAAAAACCCCGAGTTGTGAGCTTTGACCAAATAAATTTAATTTTTTAATAAATCGTCCGCCGTTTTGCATTCGTTATTTTGAGTTTTGAATAACCAACACTGCAATCGTAATCAGCGACCCCGAGAACACCCGAGTGATGAATTTTAAGCGATTAAAAACGTTTTTGGACTATATATGAATTGCCGGTAGGTGGCGGCTTTTGAGCACATGTTTGTGCGTGTCTCGGCTTTTTTATATAGTTTAACCGGTTTATAAGTTCGGTTTAATTTTTTGGTGGAGTGTCTTAATATTGTGGTGCTTCCCTCATTTTATATTTTGTGACTTTTTCACTTAAATCCTGCATTATTTATTGTAAACTTGGGTCTACATTTCCTAACCTCATTTAGGACATTGGTTCATTAACAAGGTTTTCTTTCATTAAAGTGAGTTTGCAAGTTGCAATTCTTTTTTGTGAACTTCTGATTTTTACATATTGGAACTTTCTAGTAAATTAATAATGGCATCTGCAGTAAATATTGAGAAGTGTACAAAGTGTGGTAAAGACATTGCACGTGCTATTCCTACGTTTTGTTATGGATGTAAACTTCCTTACCATCGGAGCTGTGCAATACAGACCTCTACTTTGCCTAACGGATCGTTTGTTAATTGCTGTAAGCCGATGTCATTGTCCCCGTCAGCTGACTCACAATTCTCAAACTCTGCTGTCAATTTGGATACTATTGTGGACGCCTTAAATCAGCTAACGTTAACAATATCTCGTAATGTCTCTACAATGAATGAAAATTTGAAGGAAGTAAATGTCAAATTGGATGAGACACTTTCCAAAGTAATAAATATGGAGGGTAGAGTGGTTGATTTGATGAATCGTCTTGCTTTGGTTGAGGAAAGAATTGACAAGATTGAGGCGGGATGTTCACGGTTGGACAATCCAACAGTCGAGATTAATGCCTGTATTAATGAAATAGTGGATCGGTCAGAAAGAAAGTGTAACTTAGTTCTATTTAATCTTCCTGAAGATGAAACACCTAACACAGACTCTAACACCTTGAAAGCAGTTGTCAGCAACAAATTTAAAAAGTTTACTTAATCAACTGATCTTGATGGAATTCGAACATTCAAAATTGGTGCTAGTGCGCAGGTCTCTCAAAAGCCACGCCCGGTGAAAATCGTATGTGCGACGGAGGAGAGGGCACAAGCGATTTTGCGATCGTTCGTGGCTGCTAAAAGAGACTCTGTAAATTCATCGGACTTGGAGAATTTATGGTTGTCGAATGAAAAAACGAAGATACAGAGGGACGAGATTAGGAGAGTGAAGGAGCAGTTACCCGTGCGTCGACGAGAGGGAGAAGCAAACATTTGTTTGGTTTTTCGTCGTGGAGTCTCCACAATTATTAAAATCCCTCCCGGCAAACGTACTTCTACTTTCACACTTCAGATAGGCGGGTAAACAGTTGGCCAATCCAACTGCAGTACCTGGTTTTGGATTAATTCTTCTGTCATTATTCTCTTCAGTGTTTAAATGTATTCAGCAAACTTTTTGTGTGTGGATTTTTTGAGTTAAACTCTTTTAAAGTATTGTGATTTATTTCTCAAAATGACATTTTGTTAAGCGAAAAATGTGTATAATACCCTCCTCATTTTTTATGTTACTCATTGAATTTCTATATATTCTTACAGTTTCTAGAATGTTTTAAACATGTTATTTCATTCAGAATTTTTAATTTTATTTTTCATATAATTTTTACTAATTGTTTAAAATTAATTCGGATAGAGATACAAATTTATCATTTATTAATATTATTTTGATATTTTTCTATTAAACTGTAAGATTCACTACAATAACTAACTTTCTAATGGACTCAGTAAAGAAACAAAGATATCTAATTATATTACTTTATTTTCATTATTACACTACAACGGTGTTTACATCTATACCGAACTTAAACTTTTGAAGCGCCAACCTTCATATTGTATCTGCGTTTTTATATGTTACAAATGTAACTCTTAGAATTAGGGAGTACGTAATGTACGAAAGGGCATGTCCCGTTATGTTATTAAATAAATAAATATATATGCAACTTCATTCTCCAAAAACTAAAAGAAAATGCATTTTTTTATTATTTAAAAAAAAAAATTTCTAAAATCCATTTAGATGATGTCTGTAGAGTATTTTGAACCTCGTTTTTTATTTTGCCCAACTGTGTTTGAAGTGAAGAAAAATATCCAGGAAAAAGTCAAAATTCTGTCTGGATGTCAGAAAAATGTTCGGCATAAACAAAATCAAATTTATCTGGCAATTCTATTTTATTATTAAATAATTTTAAATTTTTCTTACAAGAGAATTTAAAAAACTGAAATTAAATTATCCTTTAGTGAATCAAAAAATAAATAATTATATATCAGACTTTACTAATCTTTTGTGTCTTTTATTTTTCAGCTTCTTATTTAGCTGCGGCTCACAAAGTACAATCGAAAAAAACCTAATAA